TTAATCCACATTTTTCCAAACCTGAAGCATGTGGCATCATGACTCATAGAATCATAGAATCAACCGGGTTGGAAAAGACCTCCAAGATCATCAAGTCCAACCCTACTGTGGTTACTAGACCATGGCACTAAGTGCCACATCCAGTCTCATCTTAGAAACCTTCAGGGATGGTGGATCTACCACCCCCCTGGGCAGCCCATTCCAATGCCTGATTATTCTCTCCATAAAAAAATTATTCTTAATATATAACTTAAACCTCCCCTGGCAGAGCTTGAGTCTGTGCCCTTCCTGTACTCCCTCTCTTGCTCAGTGAGCAGAGCAGGAATTGTGACTGAGAGCAGAGGAGCTTTCACTGTGCTGTGGAGAGCAAATGTTGATTGTAAAGCTTTGAATGTTCAAGTAGTATTGTCTTCATTATGCACTATAGGAGAAAACCAAGGGTTTAGGGCCAGACTCCACTCTCAGTTCTCACGAGGAATAGAGGAGTTACACAAGACAGACACTGCGACGAGGGCTGTCCCCAAATAAACTTTTCAGGACCTTGGATTCCCTCCAATTTAACTTCTTTTACAAAACCAGTCAGATTTTTGTAGGCACAGGCTGGTTCTTTGCTCTTGCTGGTGCCCTTTGGGATGGAAAGCTCACTGCCAGGGGACAACCCATCTAAGCATAAAACTTAATTGCAGATTAACTCATTTGGAGGTTTCATACTCTTCCATATATGACTTTTTTTTTGCTTCACAACTGCATGCATTTGAGCATGTCTGAAGTCTTTTATAGACTCAATACTGTTTGGTTAAATAAACCATTCTGACAAGCAAGTAAAGCCAGATTTTTCTGCTGAATCATTGTCATTGTTTTTATATCCTTTTCCCAAGCCCAGTCCATTTTTCTGCAGCACCTGCCCCTCACCCCTCTACTGGACCTGTAGTCCCTACAAGTGATAACCAACATACACTGTGTATTAGCAGGGAACAACCTCCTGCAGACCATCCACACAAAGAATCCTCTTGCTAGAGCCTTGGAGTGAGGACATCACTTGGCCAGGATGTGAACATGGCTCTGATCTGCTCACCCAAGCCATTCCTGGGTATGGTTTGGAGCTTACAGTGTGGGAATGTGGGAAGAGCTTCAGCTTAATTGTTGGTAGCAGAGCAAAGAAATGAGCCCATGGGTGACAAAAAAGAGAGGTGAGAGCCAACATAGAAGTTGTGAAAAGGTGTTGGAATTGCTAATGGGAATATTAACTGTCACAGTCAAGCCTTGTGCGTTGACAGGTGGGTTTTGTTTTCCTTGGTTATGCCACAGATGCTTGATAGTTTCTGCCTGAAATTCCACCACCACGAGGTCTGGGGTTAACTCCCAGTCTGGCAGGTGAGGATAGTTTGGGATAGTTTGCCCTCAACATGCAGTTACAACATTACTCTGCCCTTTGCAGTACAAAGCAGAATCTTCCTTTGGCATCTGGACACATGTGAAAATGTTTCAGCGTCATTCCTTTGTCATACATAATCTCTGCAGTCCAAGGTTAGAATCAGCATTAAAATCAATCCACTGTACTCTGTACAGGTAAGGCTGTGATTTAACTTCTGTAAGGACTGATGTGGTCAAAGCCCTAATTACTGAAAGGGAAAAATCAAAGCAGAGCTTGTAGAGCAAAGTTTTCTCCTGCATTGATCCAGCAGATAAAACAGGTCTTTGACAGCACATACGGGCACATAATGTCACAGTGGCTGTAGCACATAAAGGATTGAGATTGTTTTCTCATACCCCAGTTGGGTTTTCTAGCCCCTTCCCATCACCACATCCTTTTCTTTACAATCTCCTTGGGTATTTGCAGATGACTGGGACTAAATTTTGAGGGGGGGATGGCTTGAATGCATAACTTCCCAAAACCCTGGAAAGGCAGGTGACCACCTGCATTCCTAACTCACATAGATACATGAAAACAGTACTGTAGGTAATGAATGGTATTTACAACTCTCTTCTCCCACTGAGAATGAGATAAATTGAGGTAATGAATGAGGTGAATGAGATAAATGAGATGATTGGCAAGATCTTCCCTTTTCTTAAATGTTAAATGGGAAGGAACATGTTGGCATGTCAGTGCTCAGCACCTTCTACCTCTGCTCCATTTGGGAATCTCATAAGATATGAGAAGGGGACCATAGACAACATAATTTGAAAACCCAGAGGAAATTCTTACATCTCTGGAGAGGATATTTGTTGCTCTCTGACCTTTCAGGAGTTCACTACAAACTGATGCCATCCTGCCAATGATATTTCATCTGGAAAATAACTGTGTTGGTAAGGAGCTGACACCAAAACAATGCAGTCCCAACCCTGGTATGCAGCAACTCACTCCCAGGCCACTTATTGCCACCTCATCTGGCCTGATCTTTGCTTGCACATTCACTCACACACTAGTGCCAGTGGCTCGTACCATGGACAAAAGTCCTCCAACTCATGGTCCTGAATTTAAGGACAGGAATTTAATAAGACACTAGGACAGATGATGCTGATCAGGTGCAGGGATTGACCAGACAAGCATCTGCACCAATCACCCATTCACACAGAACCAGCCCTTATCAGCCCCTTACCCCTTAATATTCCTCCCTAAATCACCTAAATTGTTCCTTTTTCCCACCCTTGGTTCCTCCCATAAACATCCTACTATAAGTCCTGTGCAATCCCAAAATGCTTTTCCCCTACACACCATAGGATGTCCCCCCTTCCTTGCAAGCCATCCCCCTGAGCCCAGATGGTGATCCAGAGAGTTGCACCCGATGACACATCTCCATGGGTCTAATGCCAGAACCGTGGGTCTGATGGCTCTGCTAGGACAGCCCTGGGAGACACCTGGACAAAACGCTTGTCCCTTGGAAGCCCTTAATTTGTGTTCCCACCTGCCAATATGCTTCTGTTCTCCTCTGGGATTTCAATGGGTTCACAGCCATCAGGATGGGGATGGGAGTAGCCCAGCAGGGCATGTTCTGCCTCTCTGTGCAGATGAGATTTTTATCACACAACCCAATACCACAATAACTGGAGACACAGAGAAGCAACACACGTAAAGGAGGTATAAGCAAAAGCCATGATAACTCTTAAGCAAACAAAATCATATCAGTGTGGGCACTGCATGGATCTGATAACTATGGGATCATGCAATTTGGCTCAGAGGTAACACCAAAACAAACACCAAAACAAGGATGCCCCAAATTAAAAGCGTAGCCGGTATCTGAACCGAACATCATGGTCAGGCTGCATCGTCCCAAATCCCCAGCGACTGATGTCTATCGCTGGAATCTCCTCTCCTGCATTGACCAGCTCCAGATCATAGTGACTCAGCATGAAGAAGACAAACAATTTCATTTCAGCAGTAGCAAAGAACCTCCCAGGACAGGTGGATACTCCTGCCCCCCAAGGCATGTTGATATATTTCAGCTTCTTCCCGTTTTTGTAGAACTCTTTCTTGGTGCCATCTGGGTTTACGAAACGGTCGTATTTAAATTTGTGAGGGTCATCGTGGATCTCTGGGTTCATCTGCACAGAGATGTGTGGGAACAGAGCCACCCTGTCTCCTTTGCGGAGAGTGTACTCTGTCCCACTGCTTGTCTTAATGCTGGTGTCCTCGACGACAGCTCTGACTAGCATCGGGGCTGCAACCAGCCTCAGGGTCTCCTCCAGAGCACTGTCCAGAAGAGGCGTCTGGTTTAACATGTCCCTAGTGATGGTGATTGGTGGGCTCCCTGCCTTAACTTCCTGCCCATTCTCCCTTGAGACTTTATCTACCTCATCTCTCACAGCTTTCAGAGCTTCTGGATGTTTCAGGAGATACAACAGGAGCCAGAAGGCAGTTGGGCCTGTATTGCCTTGGGATGCCCAGAGGAGCATGAACATGAAACGATCCCTCATGTACTCAGGGACACCGTTTTCTGCCAGAAGTTGATCTTGATCACTGATCCACCCACTGATATTGTCCTTCTGCCAGGTCTTCTTCACAGACAGCATGCTCCAGAAGTGCCTCTTCAACTGTTCAGCTTCTCTTTTGTCCTTGGGAGGCAACAAAGCAAAGGCCAAGCAAGGGAAAAGGCGGTCATACTTCCGAAACTCATGGAACAGCTGGTTGGAGTGCACACGATCTTGCTCTTCAGCTTTCTCCTTGCTACCTGCCCCTCGGTGTGGCTCCGTGCCAAACAGAGCCAGGTACCCAGCTCTGAAAACAATGTTGTAGCAGTAGTGGAAGAGGTTGTCCTCCTGCCATACTCGCTTCTCCTTTTCTGAGCTCAGATTGAAAAGCATCAGCTTCTGAAAGTTCTCCATGGTGGCTTGTGTCAGGACAGTGAGTCCCTCTCCCATCAGATGCTTAATGCTTGCTGCATGCACTATGCTATGGTTGGCTTCGATGGGCTTGTAGCCAAAAACCTTCAGGACCAGTTGAGATGCAATAGTCCTAAAGTCTAGTTTAGATCGTGATTCCTTCACGATGCTGCCAAAGCAGAAGGGATTCATCACAAAGGTGAAGTAATAGCCACCGACCAGCACTGTGAAAATATCGCCATGTTTTCTTTGCATCCTTTTCAGAAACTCTGAACTGTCCTTTCTGAAATCCATCAGGTAACCCAGCCAGGGAATCGTACCTTTTTCCAGGGGCGGCTCATTAGGTCTCCGTCTCCGAAACACACCCAGGACATAGAGCCCAGCGAGCAGCAATGACGTTAAGGTGCAGAGAAGAATCACCCAGAGCACCATGAGAGCTCTATGCCTGTCTGGGAGCTGAGGCTAGAGATAGGCTGGGGCAAGAATGTGCTTTTTATTCCCATCCAGGGGCTGATACACAGACACACAGCTGACAACCTCTGTCCCCATTGGCAGCAAGTGTTTGCCTTGCCCCTGCAGAATGCTCCAGTGTGTACTTCTCCCTTGATGAACAGAGGTTTTTAAGGTCAAAGATATGTTGTAATCTCATTGGAGTTATGGGGCTGCTGTGTAAGGCTGGTGGGTTTTGGGATATGCTTGGCAGCAGCTTAAGCAAATTCCCTTTTCTAGGCTACACAGACCCCAGTTTTTGAAAAAGAGGTCTCAAAGAATTCCACTCAGTGACTTTTGCCTTTAAGACCAGGCTGTGGACATGCACTGCAGGCTGAAAGCATGAAACCAAGACTAGATGTTGGAAATGCTACTGGAAAAGACACAGGACTGAAGGAAGGGGTTACAGTTGAGCCAATTTGGTCTCAAAAGTCAAGAGAAGGAAAGGTTTCCAACATTTTGACATTCTCTAAGGAACAGTGCCCCAGAAGTTCTTTGCCAATGAACAGGGCAAGCACTGCAAACCCCCATGAGGGCAAAGCAAAGCAGGTGTTCTTCCCTCACAGGTGAGGAGAGCTTGAATCAGTTGCATTCACTTTGTACCAGACAAGTCCAGAGCCTGCAAATGGCCCACCACAGCTGGAGACTTGCAGCACCCAGATGGACCACAGCACTTCTGTACTTTACCCATTTTCTCCTCTGCTTCTCAATCTCTTCTGCTCCCCACTCTGTGGATGGGGTTTGGGGATTATACCAGGGACCCCGTGCCCCATCTGGCACTATGCCTCTGGGTGCTGCCACCCTCATCTACACAGCCTGTCACCACAGCCTCTGTCCCAGTTGCTGAGCCCAGACCTTGCAGCATTCTCCCATAACATGGAGAGTGACATTATCCCCCCCCGCCCATTTCCCCTACCTTTGCCCTTGTCCTGAGCATCCCATCATAAGTTTTCCACAGTCCCATGAGCCCTCCACTGTATGGGATCACAATCTTCATTTTAGCTTCCCAGCTGCTGTCCCTTTCCACATTCCCTCCAGTGACCTGACCCATGGAGTGAAGGCCACATCATAGCACCAGCTAAATATTTATTCTGGCTTTGTTTTTTTAAGGAAAGCTCCAAGCCTTACCATTTTGGAAACATGCTGTAGCAATGTTGGGAAGAAAAAGAACAGCAGAGAAAACAAATCCATCTTTCTAGATCAACTCAAAGCTCTTCTCTGTCCAGTAACCTTATGGAGAAATAAAACTAAGATGAGAAGTGTTTGTCTTAAATTATTAATTTCATTTGTACAATTCTAGGCAACTCCCATGCTTAATAGGTTTCCAGGCTGGAAAGGGACCATTTAAGGTTCAGGAGCATTTGGGGTGAATAATACCTTTAAATAAAGGTCAGCAAACTCAGAACCTTAAGCATTAAAGCTGCACTGGGTAATAAGGATTGGCTAACAGCTCTCTGTGCTCTCCTGTTCAGGCCATGCTCTCACTCTGTGGTGTTGCAAAGCCAATATTTATGTAACAGATGGTATCTACGGATCTTTTTTATCTTGTCAAAGTAGTTCTTAAGAAGGCAAATACCTCTGCCACTGTTCTGCTGAGCCCACATTTTTTAGGTTTCTCACTGGTTGTTACTGGTTTGAACTTTGTTGCTGATCAAACTGGTCTCAAATCAGTTCATGATCAAACTGATCTTTAGTCAAGGATCCATCTCTTGGAAAGACAGAGCTTCCTGCTCAGCAGACCTGAGTGTGGCACAGCTCATCATAATACACAAAACTGTCATTGGTCAGACAACTCAGTTTAAAAGTGCCTAATTCCTCTTGTTGTCTCTCCTGGTAGATAAAGGGATGATTCCAGTTGAACTATTTGGCTATTACTGTCTACCTGGCAGATGGTAAGAGCCAGGAGAAGCAGACACCCCCAGGCTGGGTTTCTGGCCTGATGGATGAACATGGCAAATTTATTCCCCAGTCCACACCACGAGCTGGAGGGATAATGGGATCACTCTTCTCCATCAGACCCTTTGGGAAATTCTGCAAAAGTTTCAGTTTGCATTTTTGAGGACACGACATCAAGATAAGCTGCTCCTTCATCCATTAACACCTCACACGCTCCAGACAGGGACTGGGCTTCTTCTATGAGCGTAAATCCAAGACAATCCTTTTCTAATAATTCCAGTTGCAACAGAAACAAATCCCACACATACTTTTCCAATCCCACTTTGGAACAGCTTTCCAGGGCAGTGCTCATGGCCCCAAGAATACCAGAGCTCAAGAAGTGTTTAGACAATGCTCTCAGGCACATGGTGTGATTCTCGGGGATGTCTTGTGCAGGGCCTAGATTTGGACTCAATGATACTCATGGGTCCCTTCCAACTCAGGATATTCTGTGATTTTGTGAAATATTTCTGATACAGTTACAATGCTCAACATTTCTATCTCAGCTGCATGTCTACTGCAAGACTGGCTTGTCTCTGAGGGCTGGATGTGAAAGAAAGCTCTTCTTCTGAAAATGGCCTGAGGGATCTTCCATAAATATGACCTGAATCGTTTTTTCACAAAGGCATAGAGGAAAGGGTTGAGACAGCAGTGGACAAAGGACAAGCTCTCTGTGATCTGCATGGCATAGTCCAGTTTTCTGCTGCTTTCACAGCTGCTGATCACACCAAAATCTTGCAGGGAGTGAAGGATGAGGACAATGTTGTAAGGGCACCACAGGACAAAGAAGACACCCACCAGAATAAAGACTAAGCAGAGTGCTCTCCTTGAGCCAGGCATCTGAGATGTGGTGAGGACACATGCGATGCGGGAGTAGCAGAACATCATGAAGAGGAAGGGGAAAAGGAACCCCAGGATGTTTTGAACGACCCGAAAGACAACTTTCCAAAATAAGTGTTTCTGCCCAAAATCCTGGATGCACATGATGGTTTTGTTGTGGATTTGCCTTGTGCTGGTGAAGAGGCCATCAGGAATGGAGAGAAGTATGGAAAAGGCCCATACCATCAACAAGATGAGAGTGGACTTCCTCCATGTGACGGAGCTGTGAGGAAAGCAACCATGGACTATCTGCAGATACATGTCCAGACTCATGCAGCTCACAAAAAAGATGCCACTGTAGAAGTTCATAGTGTACATGGCATTTAAGACTGGGCACAGTATGTCCCAGGTGACCCACTGAGAAATGTGCAGAGCCCAGAAAGGAAGGGTGAGATGAGAGTGGACTTCCTCCATGTGACGGAGCTGTGAGGAAAGCAACCATGGACTATCTGCAGATACATGTCCAGACTCATGCAGCTCACAAAAAAGATGCCACTGTAGAAGTTCATAGTGTACATGGCATTTAAGACTGGGCACAGTATGTCCCAGGTGACCCACTGAGAAATGTGCAGAGCCCAGAAAGGAAGGGTGAGGGAAGAA